AACTATAAAAAGTTTTTTGGGTGTTCGTTAGACGTTGCTATACTCAGCTCGACGAGCTCTATCGATTGGCTAACTCAGATTTTAATTTGGGGGTGTTCATGGGTGTTCGTGGCTGTTCGTGGGTGTTCGCGTCTTTTAGCAATACCCCAATTCAGCTAGTTTCTCATTTTCTCTCCGGTGTTATAATTTTATCAGCTGGTCAGGACATGAAATCATATCAAATACTTGTAGAAGATGAATGTCTTTTTTTATAGTCGACTTTAAATTTTAAACCGTAAAAAATACTTAATATTTTCCGAAACTAAAAATTACCGAGATATTTTCAGTTAATTTCTTTTTTCCTATATTGGAGTCATTTTTGACCCCGGTTGGTAGTACTGTAGTAACTGACTTGTTTAACTTCAGAACAGCGTTTATATAGATGAGAATGAGTAAGTATATTGCCGAGATAAAAAGCACTGATTAGAGTCACCTAGTAAAAAATGTTGCGTATTTGTCACCATATTATATAACAAAGAATTTTCCAAAAGATAATCATTGTTCACGAAGTGATAGACACTACCTTACATGTTCGAATCCGCCAACAATAGACACCAGATCAGATCGCATAAGTAAAACTGTTCAGCTAGGATCGAGAAACAACTAAGAAAAAGAGAAAAGACATAGAAGATCGACCTGTAAACGAACCTAAACCTTTTTCAAAGATCCTCTCTGGATCAGCTAGCATTAGAACTTTGCGCTTATCAATCATTTTCCACTGGCACCCAAGTGTAAATCGTAAAAAAACCAAAGGCTCTTTAGAATCACCCTAGAGTACTGTTCAGCGCGAAAGAATTTTCTATACATTCTCCCAGTAAGATGTTGCCTACATGCTGCTAATTTTATCCACTATAAATGCGTTACAAAACTACGAACAAGCGGTGTTATAAACGGGCGACATCTACCTAAGACCGAAAACGATTGCCTTTAGATCTTTTGCTTCTTTACTTTTCTTCGTCTACTCTAGCATCAGTCTGACTTTATCCTGTTTTATACATTTGCATTAGTGTGTTACTCTTCTGAAATTGATACATCCATAATTTATCAGAAGGTCATTTCTTTGTGTTTGGCGTACACACGCATACACTGACTGACAACTGCTTTGTATAATCTAATGCTAGACTAAAGTTAAAGAAACAATGGATGCGCGTGTTTAATTGACTTTCAATTGTTCATGTTAGCCGGACGAACATGAAATATTAACTGGTGAGCTTTGAGGGACAACACCATTTAGTTTTAGAGTTTACTTGGGCACAATCCTAGGTTTTAGAGGAAAAACCTATTTAATACTGTCTACGGACAACTTTTTTTGAATCACTGTACTAACTGGTGCATCTATGTATAATCTTACTGTTCATTTAAATGAACACTGGAAAACTTCTTTATTTTATTTTGGTGATATTTTGTTTTATTTATCTGAGCAATTAAAATTAATAGGGAAAGATCGACTATACAATCGTGCTAAACAAATATAGTCAAAGAACAGATCAGAGAACTAAAAGAAGAGAGAAGAAAACGCTTTGGATCGATGAAATCATTTTAAATGTACTATTGTCTTTAATTTCACACACGAGCGAGAAAGTAATTCTTCTCTCCTGTTGTATTATACTAGCTAGTAGTTGTTTTTTCTTTTACGCTTTTATTTGCATTTCTGTTTTAAGAAAAGGTGTTTTATAAAACAAATAATTCATAGCTTTGCTTTTTTATTTATGTGTCGCTTCTATTTGAATGTAGTCATTTTATAAGATGCAAAACATGACACATACAATGCAGACTCAACAATCAAACAATCTTGATCAATTTTATTCGGCTGTAATATCGGACGAGCCTAGTCAAAGGTTAGAATGCTTTCCAGCATTAGCATCATATTTAAACGATCAGAATAATCTCTTGGAATGTAAAAATACACATGAATTTATTACTGGATTAATAAAATGGGTTGAATCTAGTAATCATAAAGTATGTGGAAAATTCATGTCAATATTATTCATTGTCATAATCTTCTGTACTTTGTTGTCTTAGATCGTGTGCAATGGTCTGAGAGTCTTGGAAATGTTTGCTGAAAGGCTAGATAATGAATTTGAATGTTATGTACCTGCTGGTAAGCATATAATTAGAGAAATTTATTTACTTCTAGTTGTTCCTTATGCTATATTTATAGTTGTTCAAGGTTGCATTCATAATCTAGGAGATTCTAAATGTCAGGTACTTACCGTTGTTTCGAGTTAAAATAAACCGAAATTTGTATTTTTCTGTTTGGTTTCAGATTCGAGATGAGACATCCAAATTCTTACTCAAATTAATGTCGATATTTACGTCACAGGTGCTTTTTTTGCTTAAAACTTGCTTAAAACAAAGTCGTTGTAGAAGTATGTTCATCTTGTTTTCGTAGCGTATTTGGGACTTGTTACGACCATCGCTGGAGCACAGAATATTTCGAGTTAAAGTGGAAGGTCAACGATTGTTAATACGCACGCTAGATATGTAAGTTGAAAAATAAAGATAGATTTCATTATTTGGTTGATTAAAGAGCTAAATATGAAAGTTGATTTGATAGCGAGGAAACAGATTGATGATTTATTTTAACCTAGAGAGAAAGTTCATGCTCATAAACATAAAAATGTTCAAGTTATGTTTCCAGCCTTTTTTAAAATTTATTGAAATTTGTGCTATAGTGGTTAGATTTATGTACATTATATTTCGATCTTGAGATAATAACAGTCTAAGTCTTTTTACTTAGATTTGGAGAATCAACTGTACAGTTAAACAAAATATTACCATTAATTAGCAAACTGTTGAATGATTCGAACCGTCAAGTAAGTTAACTGATCCGACTACTATCTAATGAAATTTTATACTCTTTTTTATTTAAAGGTTCAACAACAAACAATTGATACACTTACTGAAATCTATCGACGTTTTGGTGAAAAGGTTTGGACGTATATTTCTAAAGACAATATAACAGAAACTCGGTAAAGTAACTGCATGTTATATCAAATACAATAGCAATTTTAACTCTTAAACTCGATCCGTAATGTGCAAAAAATCGTTTCATACCGAGTTGTTGATGTTCATTTCCTTTAATCCAACAGTCGGTACCGTTCTGTTAAGATGGGTAGTTGAGAACAAATCTACACCCAAATGAAGCGAAAAAGAACCAAAGCGCTTGACACACTAAATCCAATAGAATCTGTGAAACAGCCAAATTTGGTTGTTAAATTCCCATGAATACATTAAAACATATGTTGGAATGTTCCTGTTTCATGAATCCTGATGATTCCTATTAATACATTTTAAGACACGGTTTTGATTATTTTTAGACTGAAAATTTTGTATGAAAAATTCAATGATGGCGCGATGAGTAAAACAATGTTAGAAAAAGAAGATAGTAGGTGACTGATATTTGTGTGTATACGGTAAAATAACAAAATGTTTGAGACACTAAGACTGTTACGTTTTTGTGTAATGGACTCCGAGGGTAAAAACGTATACTTCCCTTTAAATCTGCACTCCTTTGGTGTATGTAAAGATATACGTCGAAGTTTCACAAAACCTATAGAATCTAACAGATAAGCGCTGACAATTGCTTGTTTTTGGGGCGAGGAATGATCTCTTATGTTTGTTTAATGTATACTTTTAATTCGAACGCGAGAGAAATGGAGTGAAAACGCTAATAAAGTTATAATTCTGTATCTTTCGTATATATATCAGACTTAGAAATTACATTCTAGTTATGAACTGGTGGTTTGTCTTATGATCTAAAAAGTTGCTCCCTTATAGACTTTCTTGTATAACTCTGTGTTATTTGTGCCCGAAAGCATGAATGATATCGCTTGTGCATACGACAATCAGATAACGTTATTCAGTCGTTGCAATGCGTTTTTTATGACCCTAGGCTTGGTTCGTTAAGTTATGCTTGTTCTTGTAACAGCCTTGCCCGTAGGCATGCAACGGTTACGGTTATTAACCGTTAAAAGAGATATCTCCTTCTTTGTCAGTTCTTCAATGGGTAAAATCCTTTAACTTTTGCTCAGAATTAATGTTCCTAAATTTGATTTTACAAGCAAGTCAGTTCTGCTTTGCCTTTTCGGCTATGTGTCTTTTGCATTCAAAACGAGCCAGTGTGGTCAGCGAAACCTTAAGTCAATCAAAACGGAAAAAGATTATTGCGGTTGTTAAGCCATCACCGAACAAAGATAGCAAACAACATGACATGCCTACATGTATTTCAGCGCTGGAGGACATACCATTAGATTTAAACAAATCTGACAAGAATGGGAGCATTTTCACAGAAACAACAGTAGTCAGCTGAACTATTCTATTATCTGCTCTTCCACCAAATGTGATCAGACATGATGTATTTAACATGACGGACTCGACAACATGTTTCTCCAACGATATTCAAGGACAATTGAAAGATCTTGAATTAGCATTAGCCGAAGGTAGGACTTTGCGCTAATTTTTTTGCAGTAGTGAGCGTAGTTCATAGATGTCGTGATACGTCACTTCTCAGAAGAATGATGCCATTGTGCATTAAATTGTTTTCTTCGCCGTGTTTGTCGATAAAAGATGCATAAATCCTTTATTCGAAGTTTTCAGGTGATATAACGCAAAAATATTTTGAAAACAGGCGTACTACATTATTGGAATCATATGCACAACACTTACAAATAGACGAGAAGCAAATCGTAGATGGTACGTCAAAGAAGATTGTATTACCTTTCTACTATGGTAAAGTTATTGTACTTGAAAGAGTTAGCATTCCGTTGTTTTGTGTCAGAACTCGAGCTCAAATGAACGTAAACTTCTCAGATCAAACAGCATCACGTTTGTGTACCCCAAAATAAAATCCAGTAGTATCCTGTGCGTTCGTCAACTGTCTGCGATTGCTGAGTCACATATAACGTGAATACCGGTACATGAACCACCGGTAATTGCAGTTTAGTATCCTGTGCCAGCCACAACAATATTCCAAAACTTGTTTTGCTTTTAAAGGAGGTACCACATCTCTCTGGGATAGTGTAGCTTGTTGTTTACCTTATTTCATAAAACCAGCTTTCAATATTAAAATCCATCTTAAGGTTAATTAAACAAAAACTTTTGTTCAAAAATTTGATACAAAAGGTTATTTATTACTTTTAGATACGACAATGAATTTATTTGTCGACACATCTATCGTGCCGACAACGATGGTGAAAAATATTTTAATTTCGCCATCTCAAACGGCAACAACTTGTAATGAAGGGATTGATTTAACGGGTGGTTTTATTTCTTTTCGTCGAGATACGTGTCAGATAATTCTTGAAAGATTGTCTCAAAGTTCATTAGTTTTTGTCCAATCACCACCCCTGTCCGGTAAAACATCATTAGCAATTTTATTAGAATATTATTTAAAACAGACACGACCGAGTGCTAAGGTTTATTCAATGACTATGTTAGAATTAGATCAGAATGATGGCAATAATATAGCGGAACGATTTAATTGTTTATTTCAACGTAAATCAGGTTCCACATGGCCAGTGTTTATAAAAGTTTTAGACTCTTTAACGGTCGATACGTGTAAGTGATACAGTATAATACGATATGGTGATGATTAATTTCCCGTGTGATTAAACGCTTTTTGCTCGGAATCTAGTGGGTTATAGGTTATCGACCATGCTGATTACGAATACGACCATGGGGCTTTCCCATAGCCCTTCGAAGACCTGATTTTCTAGAAAACCAGTTTTTCAAAAACTCTAAAATATAACCCGAACCTTTCTTAATGAGGCATGATTGTAGCCCGCACATTTCTGATTAAAATGAGACATCTTCCAGCTTTGTACGACCTTTCTTT